CCCTGTCTTGTACGAATGGTCTCATCCATTGCTGACGACAGCATTCTACATGACTACCAAGAAGCTCCCTAGCGCTGATACGGTTTCGATTGATGTCCGAGTTCTACCAAAAGCCATGCACGATCTGGCATGAACACATCTCGTCAATAGAGCCGCAGCTGGGAAACAGCTAGGCTATTTGCCTAGGGCTAAGAGGAAACTTTTCTTCACATAACTTGCTCATTTTGTACAAGTTCCAGATAAGGCCTAGCCTCGAGTACTGCTCACACGACTGGGGTGCTGCCGCCTCGACTACATCTTGATAGTTTTTGAAGAGATGCAGGTTTGGTGGGAAGAGAATAAGTTAATATTAAATAAATAATAATTAAGATACTGCAATAAACTTTCACATTAAAAAAATTATTTGTTCAGCTTTAATTAATCAACTTGTATTGCAGTTCGTAGGCAATGGCAAGCTCCTTGGTAGCTGGTTATAAACGATATTATCTCTTTCGAGGTGCAAAATGAATGGCATGATTATATCACCAACTTAAAATCAAATCGTTTTAGTTCTCTAACTTATGTTACACTAGGTCCCCGCAGTAAAATTTTGTAGTAATGTATAATGCTCTACCTAGAGGTTTGAGGGATATTGAAAACTACTGTAGTTTCAAGAAAATCTTTTCAAGTGTCTAACTGATCAACGTTGTGGACGTTAATACCATTACATATCTTTGCATATTATTTTTTTACATGATTTTGTCTTATTTTAATGTGTTATACAGGGTCTTTCAGTTTATTGTTGCATAACTTAGAACTTTTAAAATTAATGCACCAAGTCTATATAAACATGGGTCGAAAAATGCGTGGCTTCCGAAATACAGGGTGTTTAAATTTACTTTCTAAAATAGTTTTTTTTAAATATTTCGAACAATTTTTGATGTATAACAGTGAAAATTGGTATACAAGGGTTTTTTGGTACGGCAAAACGAACCATGAGCATAGTTTTACTGTAGCCGCTAGAGGGCGCTCTCTACTGTACCTGTAGTGTATTAAAATGACCAAACATTTTTCCTTAGTGCAATTTTTTGCTTTTTGAATAAAAAAACTGATTCTTCGCACTTTTCAACATAAAAAAAGCTCTCTTGTGAATTTTCGTGATAGTTAGCCGTTTTTGAGATATTTCGATTTTTAAGGTTCGATGCATTTTTAATTATTTATGATAAAATAACGGTAAAACGTCAGTATCTTGATAATTTTTAGAAGTAGGCTGTGCCTGCAAATATTTTTGAAATTGAAAGCAGAATAAGGTTAAACGTCAATTAGTTGACAGTTAGTTTTGTTGTCTGTTGAAACCTGAAACGTTTTTTTGTAATTGTGAATGCACGAAATTTAGTTTCTTTTACGTTTTATAAAAATGCCATTTGTATTCTCCAATCAAGAGTTAGCGGATATTTATTTTGTGTATGGCTTTGTAAATGGAAACGCAGCAGAAGCAGCCAGAGAATACGCACGAAGATTTCCAAATAATTGAAAATGGTTTTGGAAATCTCCAAAGGGATCAAAACATAAATGTTCGTCAGCGCAGATTTACCCGTATGATTCTGCGTGAGTTTGATAGAGATCCGACCACAAGTGTTAGGAGAGGTTCTGGTGCATTGGGAATTTCAGCAAGCCATGTTCACCGTGTTCTTAGAAATGACCATAGACGTCCTTACCATTTGCAACCTGTGCAAGGACTACAGCCAGGGGACGGAGTACGAAGAATCACATTTTGTCAGTGGATTCTTGATAGAACTGATAATAATAGGGAGTTTTTAAGTAACGTTTTATGGACCGATGAGTCATGCTTCACTAGACGTGGAGTGGTAAATTTTCATAATCAACATATTTGGTCGCATGAAAATCCGCATGCAGTTCGGGAAAGAAATTTTCAGCATTAATTTAGTGTGAACGTGTGGATTGGTATCTACCGTAATCGACTATTTGGACCCTACCTTTTGCCTGCAAGGTTAAATGCTGCGACCTTCTTGGAATTTTTAAAGGCTGAACATGCAAATATGTGGGATGATGTTATGTTAGATTTAAGAAGATTGGCCTGGTTCCAGCTTGATGGTTGTCCAGCTCATTATTCGAGAATAGTTAGAAACTGGCTGGACAAAAATTATCCATAAAGATGGATCGGCGGTGGAGGACCAGTCGCCTGGCTTCCACGATCCCCTGACCTAAATCCATTAGATTTCTTTGTGTGGGGATTTCTAAAAGATAAAGTGTACCAGACTACCGTAACCACAAGAGATATCCTAATAGACAGAATCAGGAATGCATGTGATGAAATAAGGCCTTATTTGAATAATGCTATACCACGTTCGATCATTCGTAGATGTGAATTGTGTATTGAACAATTGGGTTTACATTTCCAGCAACTACTTTAGATTTTGTATGTTTGTCCTAACTATCCAATAGCATTTTAGTTGTAAATCATCAATTTAATTTGTAAAAAATAATATTGGAAAATTAAACAAATTAATATTCTGTTTTTTTTTGTGTTTATTTGGCGTTAGGAATTATTGCTGTGTTTAAAAACACAATCTAAACGATCATCTCAATCACTTGTAATGCCCAAATCGAAAATGTAAAAAAAAAACATTATTTTCCGATAAATAATTAAAAATGCAGCGAACCTTAAAAATCGAAATACAGGGTCCGGCAATGAAGTATGGTGTTTTTGCAACGACTATTACATGCAGCACTGTCGAGCCAATGTTTTCACGATGATTGATATCTACTCGTTCCGCGATGCCATTTTAGTAGCCATGGAGCCGTGGTCTGTGGCACATCGCGTTTTTATTTACAACACTTTTATTGAAACTGGTCGTTCTGTTGTGCTTACACAGCGACGATTTCGAAACCATTTTAACGTTGGTCGGCATGGTCGCGTTCCAAGACGCGATACCATTTTGAAGTGGGTGAATAAATTTCAAACAACCGGATCGTTGAGACCTGGTACTGCAAGGGGAAGAGATCGAACAGTGCGAACTACGGAAAACATTGAAAGAGTGCAACAAGCGGGATACTAGCCCTCGCCGTTCAGCGGTACGTCACGCTCGCGCTCTTAGAATGTCAGATCGTTCAGTTCGCAGAATCTTGCATTTGGACCTCCGTTACCATCCGTATGAAATTATGGTTGTGCAGAAGCTGCTCCAAAATGACTTTGTGAGACGACACAGGTTCGCAGAAAGGATGCTGGAATTGCTGCACGGCAACATCGTTTTGTTCATGAGTGACGAGGCCCATTTTCATTTATCGGGCATGGTAAACAAACAAAACTTCCGATACTGGGCACACGAAAACCTACGAGAACTGCATGAACAACGTCTGCACTCTGAGAGGGTAACTGTTTGGTGTGCCGTATCTCGAAATTGCATAATTGGCCCGTATTTTTTTCGTGAAAACGGACGAACAGTGTCAGTGAACTCAGATCGTTATTGCGCCATGTTGCGTGATTATTTTCTGCCCGAACTAAGAAGACGACGCATTTACATCAATACAGTTTGGTGCCAACAAGATGGGGCGACTTGCCATACATCAAGAGCTGCAATGGGCTTTTTAAGGGAAGATTTTTCTGGGCGCCTTATTTCGTTGCATGGAAATGTGGAATGGCCACCTCGGTCACCAGACCTTTCATGTTGTGACTACTTTTTATGGGGCTATTTAAAATCCAAAGTTTACATAGACAAGCCGCAAACTCTTGAGGCTCTTTCGGAACTCATAACGCGCGAAATTGAAAGGATTCCTCGTGCCATGCTAGAAAGGAGTATGGATGATTTTGCAATCCGTCTCCAAGAACGCATCGACAAGAATGGACGCCACCTAACTGATGTAATTTTTCGCACCTGACTATGTTATGTTACTTAAATGGCATCATTCCACTAATGTATTAAAATGATAAATTTTGATGTATGTTTAAAAATGAAAGTTTGTAATTTTTTTCAAAAACACCATACTTCATTGCCGGACCCTGTATCTCAAAAACGGCTAACTATAACGAAAACTCACAGGAGAGCTTTTTTATGTTGAAAAGTGCGAAGAATCAGTTACTTTAATCAAAAAGCAAAAAATTGCACTAAGAAAAAATTTTTCGGTCATTTTAATACACTACAGGTAGAGTAGAGAGCGCCCTCTAGCGGCTACAGTAAAACTATGCCCATGGTTCGTTTTGTCGTACCAAAAAACACTTGCATACCAATTTTCACTGTTATGCATGAAATATTGTTCGAAATATTTAAAAAAAAACTATTTTAGAAAGTAAATTTAAACACCCTGCATTTCGGAAGCCACGCATTTTTCGACCCATGTTTATATAGACTTTATGCATTAATTTTAAAAGTTTGTAATTTAAATTAAAATGTATCTTCGGATAAGACAGTTTTTCATCTTCATTCCTTTTTGTGACTTGCCATTTGAACCATGTGGCTGAATAAAATACTACTACTACTATTACTATTACATTGACTGATCAATGAATCTTCTCTAACAAACAGTCTCGGGGCCATTTCGCGGCGGGCCGTAGGCGATCTAGCTCTCTTCTACCGCTATGTCAATGGACTTTGCTTCTCGAGTCCCTCTTCCAAAACCGCTTGACTTCGACCTCATCATCCTAAGCGTGTCGAACTTAGTACATCCAGAACTGGCAGACACGACCGCTCCTTTGTCTCTAGGGTATCGAGATTGTGGAACAGTTCACCTAAGGAGGCTTTTCCCTAAACTTGGCAGTTCAAAAATCGGATTAACAATGTTTCTTTAAGCTCCTATTATCAGCCGCGGTGACCTGGTATTTAGGCTTCTGGCTACGCGGCTGCTTCGGTATAATAAAGAAATGAGGTTTTTATGATGAGCACAAAAATTGAAAATTCTTCATATAATTGTGGAAATGAAATTTAAATTCAGACGAATATTGTTTGGTTTGGAAAATGTAATAACACGTACCGTTTTGGCCGATTGTACGAAAATAAACTTACCCTTTACCCTTGTGTCCCATTTCACTAAATTAACAAATCGTACTCAAACACATGCTAAATACGAATTTGCATCATATGTGTCTTAATTCAAACAATGATAACAAATTATAGCATCTGGTGCGTCTTCAGTTTTTTTTTTCAGAGTCGCGGAGTGATTCGCGTCTGATAGGAAGAGCAGTCGCGATTAGACTGAAGTCATTTTGGAACGCGAATCAGATGATGCTTTTGAATAATGGGTCATTCGTAAAAAGTATTAGCGTTAAAGTATGGTTTTTCAATTAATTGTTGTGACGGAATCATTTTTTATATAGAATTTAGCGTGCGTCAAAATATGCGTAATTGTGTCGAGTCGAAATATATAGGTCAGTGGGTTGAGTGAAATGGGACAAATTCTTAGAAAAAAACTGCGATTGAGCTGCGCGACTGATGTTGATTTTTACAACTTTCATTGCTTTCTCATCAGCGCTCTTATCCGATGATTCTGAATCATTCATCTCTCAATCATAAGGAAAAATGGTGTCAGGGAGGATGACTTTGTACTTTCCACGCAATGTCATCAGTTCATAAAAAAACCTGAGAGTCGCAGTCTCAGAGCTTCGCTGGTTTGCGGGCGTCTTACAATGTCTCGCTACTTATAGCAAAATCCGGAAAACCGCACACTATCGGAGAGAAGTTAATTTTGCCAACCGTTGAAGAGGTTTTAAAAACTGTTTTACACAAACCTGCATCTGATATCATTAAAAGAATTCCCTTAAGCAACAATACTGTTGAAAGACGTATTGATGAAATGAGTTCCGATATTGAAAGCTTCTTATGTAATTATTTGCAAACGACCCATTTCTCTATACAACTGGACGAGTCAACTTTACCTGATAATGCAGCATTATTATTGGCATATGTTCGTTTTATTATGAATCAAGAAATCTACGAAGAACTGCTCTTCGCAAGGACTTTGATAACCGACACTAAAGGTGAATCAATATTTCATGTTTTGAAGGATTACTTCATTGAAAAAGCAATTCCTTTATCAAATATAATATCAGTAGCTACTGATGGAGCATCTGCCATGGTTGGACGTTATCGTGGATTTATAAGCTATTTAAAACAAAATGTGTCAGGGGTGTTAGCAATACATTGCGTCATCCATCGACAACATTTAGTTGCTAAAAATTTGAGTGTTAGATTGCATGAATCACTTCTTTTAGTCATTGATGCAGTAAACCGAATCCGAAGCAACGCGTTGAATACGCGATTATTTGCGCAGTTGTGTGAAGAAAATGACGATCACTTTCATCAGTTACTCCTTCACACTGAAGTACGCTGGCTGTCGAAAGGCTTATGTTTGACAAGATTTTTTCCACTTTTTGAGAGTATTTTAGAATTTCTGGATACTAAACATAAAATTTTAAAAGAAAATTTAATGAAGAGGAAAACAGACATCACCTATTTAACAGATTTGTTTACAAAATTTAATATGGTTAATTTGCAATTAGAAGGCGACAGTTTAAATTTGATTAAAACAAAGTTCATCTTATCAGCGTTTCTTGCCAGAGTTAAACTAATGAAGCAAAATATTGGACGGGGCGAATTTTCTCAGTTCCCCAATTTGTCACAGACAAGCTGCCAGGAAGACAACGTTTCAACTTACGTTCAACATTTAAATGCCCTCTATTCAGATTTTGAATCTATGTTTGAGGATATTTTGACTATGGTAATACCACGGTGGATAATTAATCCATATGGTGACATAGAAGAAAGGAGTGTCATAATACAAGAGGAACTGACTGAACTAAGTGCAAACGAAGAACTTAAGGTTCAGTTTAAAAACGGATATCAGCAATTCTGGCTGCAAAACATCATACTCGTTACTTATCCCGTATTATGGAATATAGCAAGGACATTTTCAATTTCCTTTCCATCGTCAAACCTAGTGAAAGGGGGTTCAGCGCTGTTACCAATCTCCTATCGAAAAAAAGAAACAGACTGGACATCATTAGCCGAGGAGATTTAAGATTAACCCTTACAAAATTGACGTCAAATGTTGATCAGGTTCATCCTTCTCACTAAAAATATTGACTTATTGCTTACGTTATTTTATTTATAGTTTATTTTATGTTTATTGGTGTCTGACCAATAAATGCCCGCATTGGGAATAAGTGCCCGCATTGATTTTTTTAAAGAACCCCGCTTTATAGAAAATATATTTTTTTTAAATTATTCTGAAAATTCAAGGATAGGTACACACTAAAATTCGTTAATTTTTTGCCTATTTTTAGATAACTTAAACGCATAAGAAGCGGAATTTAATCAAACTAACAGTGAAGTTAAAGTAGAACATACGTTTATGTTATAATTAATAAACGAACTCGCTTATTGTACTATTTTAATTAAAAAACTTTTTTTTTATTATTTTTCACTTTTAATTTTATCCCTCTTATTTTTTTTTCAATGCGGGCACTTATTCCCAATGCGGGTACTTATTGGTCAGACACCTGTTTATTTAATGTTATGTATATTTTACATAACAGACACAAAATTTTATTTTGAGTAGTTTTAATTTAAATTCAATTAATAAATGTATAAATTAACATGTGTTTTTACTTTAAGTTTTTAACACTAAACTTCACTACAGTTAGAAATTTACAGGAAATCAATATGAGGTAAGTAGGGGGTCTACCCAACAAGGGAAAACATGGCAAGGGGTCTACGATACAAAAAAGTTTGGGGGACTCTGAGTTAATCCCTTCTAGAAATATACACGTGTACTCAAGGGATTGAAGTCAGCCAAACAGTCCCATATAATTAGGGTCCCGCTGACGTCATGCCCCTGAGGATTTGAGCAATCTTCTAAAGGTTGCATATTTGATGTTGGTTTGTGTATCTTATTGAGTAACTCTTAAGATTTAGCTCCTACTCTCTACAATTTTTTGAAGATGAGACGAGACGAGGCCTCCTTCGCGCTGAGGCCTTCTCTTATTGTTTTCGTTCATCCTGTTTTATAAACGACTAAATGCTCAACAAAATTGAGATACAACCTTCTTACCCGTGCTCTGTAACACCACCTCCTAATTTTTCACCCATCAAAAAAAAAATCAGGTGCATCCTCCGAAACGTCAAAAAAACGAAGCTTGGATGATGTCATCGGTTCGGTTCCCATAAACTACAATACTTTGGCATAGTCGTAACATTGTATCTTCATTAGAAGAATTAGCGGACAGACATACAAAGCGTCAGAGAGACGGAAATGAGTGACATGGTTTTCCGTATAAGCCATGTAATAAACAAAAATACAATTTGTCATTTTCGAAATTTTTCGCGATTACAATACTTCTTCACTTCTGCCATGGGAAGTAATTAGCAACAATGCTAGGACAGAAAAAAATTGGCAATTGGTCATTCGACAAACAAGTTGGTGACCACTGAGAAAAAGTTTGAGACTTCCTAAGTTATTTCAAGATGAAGTGTCAAATATCCACGAAAGCAAAACTAAAGTCTCTATAGAAAACAATATATGTTGACTGTACTAATTTTGTGTTAATTGTACCAGATGTAGGTTAAGATCATCGGTAAATTATGCCATTTAATGGGATCTTCGGTACGTGTCCTTGAAATCATGCATATTTATATTTATAGGAATCATGATTCATAAATTCCACGCACTAACTTGAAGCTCATCCTGCAAACATAGGGATGCCTTCTTGTCGAGAATATAACCCGTAAAAGTCAACAAAAAGTTTCATGAATATATAAGGAAGAAAATAAAAGTGGTAATTATTAGTTTTAATACGATGGTGCCTATAGAGATGTACGACTAATGAAGCGAGCACATTATCATAATAATAGTAATTTTTACTGGAATGTTTATACATAAAAATATAAAAGCGACAACATTCCAAAAGGAAAGAGGATTTGGAGGGCCATTTTTCACCTCATGAGCGTTTTTTAACATCAACAGAATGATTAGTATTCACAACAAATATTATGCACAACACAGTATATAATACGATATAGTCTGAGTGTTAATGGAGGGTAGTGTAGCAAGCGCCATAAATTTAATTTGTGGATTCAAATCTTTGCAGCTGAAGTAGCACTTTTTTCATCTCATTTCTGAAGTTTTGGATGGAAAGTGCTTCAAAAAGTTCTAAATGATCGTTTAGTAGATATGGTGCAATGTAAGTAAAACATTTTTTGAATTTAGATGTTGTTTGAATATTGTTGCGTAAGGAAACTTGGCGGAGTGAACATCTCTTCTCCAAAGCAATAAACAGATATCTGGGTAATTTATATTTTAAAACTTTATATAGTAGAGTTCCATACTGAAGTAATACACGATACTTGAATTTTAAAAGATTTTCTCTCACATAATATCCAGTAATATGTTCTTGTATTTGTATATCTTTGAAACAGAATCTCATGCAGCAGTTTTGTAATACTTGAATTTTGTGCTTCATTTCTTCCATCAGAAAATTATAATCTAGGTGAGTGAGGATTAGTGCATTGGTAAGCCTTAATTTTATATCGCTGGTTAAAACATGTTTGTATCTCCAAAGTGACTTGTATCTACAATAGCATACTCGAAGTTTATTAATGACATGGTTCTCAAAACTTTGTGTCCAACAAAATGCCTAAATGCTTAGTCTCCTCTACAATTTCAACAGATGTATTACCTAAAACAATGGCTGTACTCATCAATCCTTTAAATTTTGAAATATTTAAACTAGAACCAATGCAGCAAGCTTTAGTTTTTGTCTGATTCAGTTTCAAACAATAATTTTTGGAATAGTTTGCAATCATTTCTAGATTTACATTTAACTCTTTAATCAATAAATCAACTTCATTTGGCTTGCAAGCTTTATACATGTATACATCATCAGCATATATGTATATTCCAATCATGTGATATAAAATTTAATAAATCAGATGTATAGAATGTAAATAGTAATGGACCTAATACACTTCCTTGCGGAACACCAGAAATTACATTTTGTAAAGTGGACATTTTGTTAAATATCTTTGTGCATTGGGATCTGCCAGTCAGGTAGTTGTTGAACCACAGTAAGGATTACTAGACAAACCATAATATTGTAGCTTTTTACATAATACTTCATGGTTAACCATGTCAAATGCCTTACTGTAATCTAACATCACCAATACGGTCACCATACCATCATCCATGAACTTGACTATATCGCTAGTTACTTTTATAAGCGCTGTGGATGTGTTGTGTAGTTTTCTGAATCCCGACTGTGTATCGGGAAGGACTTCATTTACTTCTAGATGGTCACGAAGT